CACAGAAGTCAGACACATTTATATGAATTCACATGCCTACACAAATGATGTGGTTGTTGGCGTAGACAACTCTCTCCCAACCCCCCAACCCCCCCCCCCCACCTCTCAATATAGTCTTTAATTAATTCATCCTATAAACGCTATTTGCCCATTTAATAAATTAACCTTGAAGAGGGTGCATATTTGTCTTGTCTCTTTCTTCCCACTGGGACTGAGCTAATTATTGCCAGGAGCTAACCAGTGAACACCAATACGGAAGAGTCTTATTTTGCAAAAAGGAATAAACCTTTTAGTTCACTGTTTTATGTGAAGAATGCAAATGTGGAAAACTGCAAACTGACGCAGCTGGCGCTGTAGTGAAACCACTCCACCTCATATGCCGAAAATAGATGTATTTATGGATTATCGATCCACTTTCGGTAAATTCTCTGGAAGAAAGATATTAGGGAGTAGTTAAAAATAACGATATCTTGTAACGAAATCGTACCTCCAAAATGTCTTTGACTTTATTCAGGTAGTCTTCTAATTCTGTTGGTAACCGGTTCTTGGCATCCACTCCTTCATATCCTCTTTGAACTTCTTTAACTTTCGACATAAGTTTTTCGAGGTCATCAATTGCAGTTGTCAACTTGTTGGCCTGTGTTGGATCATTTACACCTCTTCGAAGATCCCTTAACTCTTCAATCTTAACTTCTGTAAATTTCTTCAACTCCACCACAGCTTTCTAAAAGTAAGTGTTCAACATTGAACTTCGCATTTCAACAATACCTAATTCTTCTTGTAACATTTATGCTCACATCAGCTTCCACAGTTTGTAGGAATTGAGTAAGAACATCTTTCATTCTTCTTAACTCCTCGATTGAAGTTATCATTTGAGGATCAATACTTGCCGAGATTTGGTCAGCCATGTCCCTTTGTTAAGAAAGAGGAAAGGGGGTTTTACGTAATTAAATAAGTTGGTGAATCAATAGGTTGAATCACAGGAATCATACAATTCCAGTCCAATTTTAAATGGTGCTTACTTGCTCATCTCTTCAAATTTTTCGACAATGTTAGGATCATCGGAAAGTTTAGTTAAGTTGGCTATTTTATTGACTCCAATACTGGGAAGAAGTTTTGGATCGGTTGATGGAGTTGGTTTGCAGGTGTTGCCGATAGCGAACAATACGTTATTCGGTGCTGGCATATCAAGCAGGTCGTTTGATATTGGGGGCCAATTTTGATCTACAAAACTATTTAACACGTAATCACTTTGATTGACCCCTTTTGCCTGCCACACGTAGGGACACAACTCAGCCGCAAGGAAACTGCTGATGACCAAGATTACTGCGGCCAAAATCGCAAAAATAATCACGAAAATGAGGAGGAAGGAGCACATGCAGAAACGACACCCACCGCACGCTCGACTCCTTCGCCTGAGTTTCTCAATACTTGCAACTGAAGGAGAAGAAGTAGAAAATGCTCGTATCGTGTACCAGTTCAACCAAGATGTGCCTCATAATAGTATGA